TAAGAAATATTTGAGCTCACCAAGATCTTTGATCTCAAATTHTTRYYRCARTGRTKTTTTGAGATCATCAATCTCCTCCAGATCATTTCCTGTCACCACTATATCATCCACATACACAATCAGAATTGACACCAAAGCATCTTTCCTCTTCACAAAGAGGGTGTGATCAGATTGTGTCTGTGTGTATCCAAAACGGATGAGTGCCCCTTTGAACCTGTCAAACCAAGCCCTAGGTGACTGTTTTAGTCCATACAGAGATTTTCTGAGTCTACACACCTTTCCTTTACCAACATTATCATAAAAGCCTGCTGGAATGTCCATATATACCTCCTCCTGTAACTCACCATTGAGGAAAGCATTTTTGACATCAAGTTGGAACAAGGGCCATGAATAGGTGGTTGCTAGAGATAAAAGAATACGAACCGAACTCATCTTAGCTACTGGTGCAAAGTTTTCCAGATAATCAACACCATAGGTCTGAGTATACCCTTTTGCTATCAACTTTGCCTTGTACCTCTCTATCTTTCCATCGGCCTTATACTTCACTGTGAATACCCATCAACATCCAACTGTCTCCTTGTCTAGGGGGAGATCAACTATTCCCAAGTTTGATTTTTGACCAAAGCATCCATCTCATCTTGCATGGTTGTTTTTCACTCAGATTTGGAGAGAGCCTCGGTAACATTCATGGGTATAGACACAGAATCCAGGGAAGAAAGAAAAGAATGGTAGGAGGGTGATAAGGCACTATAGGAAAGATGGTGTGAAATGCAGTTGACTGTACACTTTCTCTTCCCCTTACGAAGTGCAATGGGAAGATCAAGGTCAGTGGGATCAGCTGCAACAATGGTGTTAGGGACAGAAACATTATCATCAGAAAACATAACAGGCTCAAGAGGAATACCTGGAACTGTATCTTCCGAATCTGGAGTTTCAGAAGGACTGACAGAGAGTGGTGTGGGTCGAGGATGTGTGGAGTCAACCATCATCTGCCGGTGCTGATATTGCTGTGAGGTTGCCCGTAGTGGCTCAGGTAATGAAACTGGAGGTGTAGGTGCTGGCTGAACTGATGGTGCAGGTGGTGGCTGAACTGATGTAGATGCTGGCTGAATTGATGGAGGTACCACAGAAACAGGAAGAGGAACAGGTTGTGAGTTTTCATCCCCAAAACTCTCCCCCTGAGGAGAACCACTCGAGAAGAAGAATGTGGATTCAAAAAAGGTAACATCCATAGTGACAAATCTGCTCCTCGACACTGGGTCATAACAGCAATACCCCTTTTGGTTCTGAGTATACCCAAGAAAAACACATTTCTTGGCCTGAGGATCCAATTTCTTGCGATGAGGGCCAAGAATGTGAACAAAAGAAACACAACCAAAAACCCTCAAAGGTATATGAAATATCTCTCCATTTAGAAAAAGGAGGCTAAATGGCACCTTAAACCCCAAAGTTTGTGAAGGAACACGGTTAATCACATGTACGACTATAAGAACTGCATCTCCCTAGAACTGCACAGGAATTGAAGCACACACCATAAGACTCCTTGCCACCTCCACAATGTGTTTGTTTTTCCTCTCAGCAACTCCATTCTGTTGCGGTGTATATGCACAACTGCTCTGATGAACTACACCATGTTCTAAGAGATACATGGTTAGGTCCTTCTCAAAGTACTCTCTGGCATTATCTGATCTAAAAACCTTAGTTCTCACTCCAAATTGTGTGAGAACCATATGGTGGAATCGTTGTACTAAGTTAGGAACCTCATCACATGATCTCATCAAATATATCCAAGAATATCATGTATAATCATCCACAAACAAGAGAAAGTAACGGAATCCTCCCATGGAAGGGATTTGATATGGCCCC